AGAAGGAACTAGTCAAAGTATGCATCCAAGGTATGTTTGATGAATATAGGGTGCGTTTGGAAAACTTACCTCTTCCTACTTTTGCCACCTTAGTTGAAGCTGCACGACGGACTAATAATACGGTCCTTAGACAAAAAGCAGCTAATTGTTTCAATAGGAAGAGCACCTTAACTATGAATGCAATCCAAAGAGGAGGTAAGGAAAGAAGAGTACCTCAAGAAAATCTGAGGCCAAAGCGTGACAACTTTAAGAGAGGACAAGATGAAGAGATTGCTGCACCTCCTCCATTTTCAACTTCTCTTGACAAAGTAAGGGCACTTCTTCAAGAATGGATTAGAGACGGGCAAATAAATTTGCCTTATGTATCAAGACTTCCGACAGCAGAGGAGAAGTCCAATCCACACTATTGCGATTACCATCGCAAGGTGGGTCATCCATTTGCAGAATGCAGAAACATGCGTAAGATATTTCACAGAAGAACACAAACAGGAGAAGTCTTGATTGGAAATAACAAAATTCAAAATAATCCACTCCCTGTTCATCAAGACGCTAGAGGACATGTAAGTGCAGTGATTGGTATTCAGGAAGAACCTTCCCCACCTTCCAATCTAGAAAAAGATACATGTGCAGCTGATATGGTTACGTCGTCTATTGCTAACTCACTTATGAAGACACCTAGCTGCAGACACTTCTTTGATTAACTTGGCTTTTCAGATGAATCGAAAAAAAAGGTAGCCACAATGTTAGTACAGATAACAAGTTTACAGAATGGGGAATGTAGCTTAGTGGGACAACCTATGAAGAAGATGACAAGTGGATATGAGAATGCCATAGTATTCACAGAAGCAGATATGTGCACACCACATCCCTATCACAGTAAGCCACTCTATGTGGAAAGCAATGTCAATGAATACCCAGTGCGGAGGACATTCATTGATGATGGTTCCTCGATAAACCTCATGCCACTATCCACTCTGAAGGCTATGAATATAGACATAAGGAGTTTATGTCGTCCTATGACTGTCACTTCTTGGACCAACAAAGAAATTAAAACACTGTGACAAGTCATGGTGAGTTTCAAGATGGGACCTATTCAAGATCAGACTTGCTTCCATGTTATTGAAGCTGATGTGGCCTATCACCTCCTCATAGGAAGGAAGTTTCTT